CCTTGTCATGGTCCGAGACGATCTCTACCCCGTGCTTCCCGCGGATGAGCTCAGCCCTGCGGGGAGGGATGGTCAGGCTTTCCCAGCCAGGGTGGGGGATCCAGGAGCTATGCCAGGGCAGGGTGGTGCTGGTCATACCACTGCTGGGTACGGCTCTGGGGTGTTTGTGGAGTGGAGCTGGGCTGCTGCCCCGGGGCAGATGTGGATGCTGCTGCCTGTGGATTGGTTCTGGGTTGCCGGTACTGGTCTGCCACCACCACGCGCCTCCGCACCTGTGAGGAGCAGCCAGCACCAATGTGACCCCGAGGTGCTGCCAGGGGCTCCCACGGAGCCAGTCCCAGTGGGCACTGCCCCAGCCCAGGGTGTCCCTTACCTGCCTGAAGTGCACCACATCTCCATACACCTGTGCCCGATGTGTCACCCTCATCGCGTACAAGGTGCAGGAGAAGTTGGGTGTCCTTGAGTCGATACTGCAGGGACAAGGGAGAGGGTTTGTGTGGGTCAGAGCACAACCAGGCTGCCAGGGGCACAGGGAGCTGAGGGGAGGCAGGCAGGAAGATGAAGCTGGGGTGAGGGATCTCTCAGGAGGTCCCCTCTGCACCAGGAGAGGGAGGACTTGGGCTTCCCACCGGCCCATGCAAATCTTCCATCCCTGCAGGCTGCCCCAGCAACTCCACACCTTGCCGTGGTTGTGCCAGCTGTGCCATGGCCATTCCAGCTGTGCCACAGCATCACTGCCTGGCCCCGACAGCCATGCAGTCCCTGTCAGTGCTCTAGCAGCAGCAGGGCAGGACTGTTCCCCATCCTCAGATCCTTGCCAGAAGAGGCCACCCGGAGGGCTCAGCCCCCTGCACAGCCCCAGGGGCTGAGCTGGCACAGATGGAGGCTCCTCTAAGGTACAGCCAGTGGCGATGCCTCCCCAGGTACCTCCTCCCGCAGCTCGGGGCTCATCCCACAGCCCACCAGTGCGCTGACCCCCGGCTTTGCCAATGATTAACAGTGATGTTGCTCAAGGGCCAGTGAGTGGTGGCACAAGGGTGAGCTGGGGAGCGGGGCAGGCAGCAACTGTCCAAGGTCATGCTCAGGCAGCTGCTGGGGGGCCCATGGGGCTGGGGATCATCCCAGCAGGGCTGTGGTTAGCCAGAAGGACTTGGAGGGGAGTGATGCTGCTGGGGACCAGTGCCTCTGGCCAGGCACTAGGAGTTATGCCTTGGGGACTGGAGATGCTGGCTGGTGGGAATGGGCAGTGTTGTCCAGGGCGTCCATCCCAGGTGATGCTACCCACGTCTGGCCAAGAGCTCTCACCTGGTGCGGAATTCCTGGTTGTAGATGCTCCGCAGCGTTTCTTTCTGTCTCTCCTGCTCCCGCCCCGTGTCCCGAAGGAACTGCACGAACTGGTCTCCCCAT